TGAGGCAGGTGGATCACCTGAGGTCGGGAGTTTGAGACCAGCCTGACCAACATGGTGAAACCCCATCTCTACTAAAAATATAAATAATTATCCAGACATGGTGGCACATGCCTGTAATCCCAGCTACTCAGGAGGCTGAGGCAGGAGAATCACTTGAACCCGGGAGACGGAGGTTGTAGTGAGCTGAGATCTCACCACTGCACTCCAGCCTGGGCGATAGAGTGAAACTCTGTCTCAAAAAAAAAAAAAAGAACAGAAATTCTAAAGACTCTCAACAGCAGTGCTTGGAGGTTATGTAAAGTCAAGGTCCATGTTTTCCCAACTGGGTTCTCAGTGATTTAGGGTGATTCCACTCACCCTTCACAGAGGAGAGAGAAAGGTTGCGGGAGACGGGCTCTAAGCCCTCCTCACCCATGGCATTTCTGATTTGACCTGTTGCACATTTTCAGCTTCCATATTGGATGTTTGTAGTACAAGGAATTTCACAGCTGGAACATGTTGAAAATCCACACAGCACAACCAAGTTGTGCTGAAGAGTCGAGAACCAGAGACGGCAAAGACACCGTTTTCCCAAGCTAAGGCTCTCAAACACACAGCCACGACCTCCTCATTTCACCCCAACCACCGATGGCAGTGACAGGGACACCCAAGGGATGACCACAAAAATGCCCCTTGGTTCAGGAATCTGAATTTGCAGGAAAGCCTGACTCTTATCCGGTAAAGAGAAAAAGGGACAGTGGTTTTCCTGAAGGTGATGAGAAACACACAGTGTAAATCCGGTGTCCTGGGACGAAAGGTATTTACGCAAATCTGCCTGGGTCTCTGTTGCCAAGGATACTACTCACTGGACACCCAACTGGCCCCATCGTGATGCTTCTGACAGCAGGAAAACACCAGTCAGCCTTGTAATGATCGGCCACAGAGTCATCCACCAGGGCGATTCAGGTCATCCACCCCACCTCAATTGTGTTTGTTAGGGACAAATATTTAGAAGTTTCACGTTTGTGGGGTTATCTCAATGTCTTTGCAGTCTGGAGGGTATTTTCACAGAGTTGAATGAGTCAAGTGCCTATTCTGATGTCATAAAATCCTATAATTGAAAATGTCCTTAAAAGATGACATTACTCCAGCTCAATGGGTAGGGATGTCTCCTCTGGGGATGATGAAATGTTTTGGATCTAGACAGAGGGGCATTACACAACATTGTGAATGTAGTAAATGCCACTAAATTATGCACCTGAAGATGGTTAATTTTATGTTGTGTGACTATCACCTCAATTTTTTAAAAAGATTATATTGTCCAGTCTTTAATTGTGAAGATGTGAGAGCAAGGGATTGGAGGATGGTATCCAAAGCCCACTTAGGGTGCAGACAGGTCCCTAACACACCCATCACCCTGTCCAGCCTTCAACCTAATCATTCCCATTTCACTACACAGCTTGTGCTGTCGTAAGACAGTGAGCTCAGGGCTGAATGTACCCGGCAGAGACAATTCACATCCTCAAGAACTCTTTCCCCAGAAGTGTTGTGATCTTGTTTGTTCTTGTATTTTTTCCCACAATGAAGAAATAAAAATGAATCTAGACTTACACCACTTTGCTTGGTGCCTGTTATTAAAGCATGATTCTTGCTGCAAACATGTGCCCAGAAGACAAGTTAAATATCCAGGTGTTAGAACCTTTGGGAGGCCTGGGTATCTCCTGTTTCAGTCACCACTGACCCACAGCAAAGTGACTCTGTAAAAGCTGGCTTATTTTCTTTGGAGCTTTCTCTGTCAGATTTATGGGGAGGCTTAATGGCGCCCCAGCCATGAGAAACCACGCATGTGCCACAGCCCAACATTACACGCCACCTCCATCCCAGGAAGGATCTCGCCCTTCAGAGAGCCATGTCACCTCTCTGTGACACTGACCATTCGCTTATATGAAGGCTGCAGCCCAGGGCAATAATAGGAGAATCAGCCTCAGAGTCAGGACAAGCAGATTCTAGAGCTACTCTCCTGTGTTAATCTTCTGGGTACTTCTTAGAGTATGAAACAGAAGCATCCCTTGTCCTTTAAGCTGTTTGGAGTTGGGTGGCCTTGTTGTTTGCAGTTAAAAGCATCTTAATGAAGACAAGATCCCATAGTCAGTTTACAAGGAACAAGACTCAAGAGACCTGGGTTGGTTCCAGTCTCAGCTCCCCCAGAAACCTGACCAGGCCTCATTCTCCTCACTTGGGCGGTGCAGACGTGGATGAGACATGCTCTAAGGTCATAGCCACTGGGGATGTCCTGTCCCTTTATCTCACTGTACACGTTCCCTGCCGTAGATCCTGAAGCCCATGGTGGGTTTGATGTCTGCCTCACTCCCCTCTCACCTGTGCTGGATGACTGGCGGCCCAGTGTCTGCTAAGCGGCCCTTCTTGCTGGAAGCTCGGGAGGTCTTTGCTGCTGTGCAGCATGTGCATGTGAAAATGGGCTGCTGAAGAAACCTGCCAGGGAATTCAAGTCCACAGCTACCTTAGGTGGAAAGGGATGACTAAGGAGGATAAGACAAAAAGCAGTGTGAAACTCAGGCTTGCCCCCATTTTTTATAGGCCTGCCTGAGTTCTCTCCTTCAGTTTGCATATCGTAGAGCATATCCAGATTTTTATTAACATCTTTCCCCATTCCTATTTTTTCCCAACCTTTGTTTGCATATGACTTTTAGAGTTGAGGGCACTAGGTGGCTACATGCGGTCTTTTAAAATGTGTGCATCATCTGTGTTAGAATCTAGAAGGACCGACGGAAGATCTGGGACACAAACAGATGGTTCCATCATGGCACTGCTGGGCATGAGGTGTCTGTTGGGCAGCTCACTAGGCTTTGGTTTCCGTTTCCTCCTCCCTAAAATGGAGACGGCCCTGGGGATCCACAGTGCCCTTGATTTCAGGTATTACAGAGTAAGCAAGTCCATTCTCTGAGTGAGAACAAATTTGCCACCGAATACCGTTTCAAACACACTCACAGAGAAAAGACAGCAGCACCAGGCAAGGCATGAGCAAAAAGAACTAATTGCATAGTTACCACAAAAACAATCCAATGCGCTTATTTTGCAGTGAGAAAATGGATCCACTTTGCAGTGCAGTTAACTCTATTGGAAATAAAGATAATTGCTTGAGAACTGAACGCTACCCTTCCCCGGAGCTCCCTGGTAACTATGCAAATTGTTCCGCTTGCCTGTAATAGTGCAGCGCGGAACAAAAATGTCTTTTCTGATCCACGCTGGGGACAATTCCAAAAACTCGGTAAATCTAAGTCACTCTGTCAGCTCCTCTACCAAGGAGGGTAGAATTCACATTTGTCAAGGCTTGGGCGATTGGACACATCTCCCAGGGTAGGGGTCTGGCCTCTGCATGTCTTGTCAGGGTCAGGGGCCTCTATCTTAACTATAGAAACCTGAAATATTTCCAAGTTGAAATCTAGTGGAAATTGAGCATCCTCAGGACTGCTGTTCTCGTAGCCTGGTGCAGAAGTAAAGTCCATTCTCCTGCACACAGAAAACACGATTTATCTGAAAAATGACCACAGAGTCTGATGGAAAAAGGTGCCGGTTGACAAGCGTCCTTCCCAAAACTAGCCTACATTGCTTTGAAGAAGCAGCCTAGCAAGATCAATGGCAACGGGGAAAGAAATGTATACTTTGGTGTTTTGAATATTTAAAAAGCAAAATCGTGAAGCAGATGAAAAATCTGCTATGGGATAATAGAATCACAAGCCAATACAGATAGGGAGGGCTCATCTTCTCAGTAAGTTGGTGTTTCAAACAGGAACCTGGGAAGCAGGGTTCAGGGACACCTGCACGTTCTCATATATAAGTTCTGTAATTCTTTAACTTTCGATTCCATGGATTTCCACCCTCCAGTTTTCTGCCGAAAGCTGGCCTAGGTTATACAAGTTTTCTTTCCCTGGTTTGGCACAAGGAAGCGATGATGCAAGAGGCCTCTTTCCAAATCCCTCGCTGCCTGTTGGGAGCTGACATGGCAGGGCCAGCAGGGTGAGGACATGGCTATCTGTTGCAGGGGCTGGCCTCAGCTCCCAGGCCTTTGGAGCTCTCTCTGTAAGTACCAGAGTCAAGTGCTCATGAATTGGAAGACAATAGGGTCCCTGGACTTTTGGACACTCACTTCTATATGGTCTAATCAACTTCACTGAGCAGTTGATCCCACTTGGTCAGTAACAGCATCAGAAGTAACGATTGGGCCAAGTGTGGTGGCTCATGCCTGTAATGCCAACATTTTGATAGGCTGAGGTGGGAAGATCACTTGAGTCCAGGAGTTCAAGACTAACCTGGGCAACATAGCAAGACCCCATCTCTACGTTAAAAATAAAATCATTTTTTAGAAGAAGTACAGATTGGCTCAATATTTTTTATCTGTAGGGTCCATGGGGTGGTTTGGGGAGGCAGCGTCGTGTAGAGGCCAACAGTGTGGGTTCCGGAGGCAGGTGTTTCCTTTTACATCTTGACTGTGTAGCCCTAAGCCAAGGCACACCCTCTCTATGCTTCCTCGGTTTCCTCATCTGCAAAATGAGGATAATTATGGCACCTGCTTTTTCACAAGGATTAGATTTGGGAACCCAAATAAACATACTTAACATAGTGCCAGGCACATCTGAGCTGACACTCCTAAATTCTAGAAGGGGGAATTACAAATCACAGTTCTTTTGGGATGCAAATTTTTTTATTTATTTAACCATTGGCTCCTATGGAGTGCTAAGTATGGAGGGGACAAGAAGTCCAAGCAGAGTTGCCAACTTCTAGGAGTCTGTGTTCTCACTCCACTTAGCATCCTCATTGCCCCCAAACCACACCTGGCACATAGTAGGTGCTCAGCAAATGTCTGCTGCCCAGGCCCAGCCAGGAAGACCAGCTCCACACCCGTGGGAACTCAGCTGCACAAGGCTACGAATGACTAAGCAGCACGTGTGTTGTATGGACAGTAAACACACCCACTCCCCAATAAATCTCTAGACATAGAGTAATGGTGATAGCAGCTTGGGTTTTTATTTAACTTTTTCCATATGCTTTCCTGTCGACTCCTCTTGTCTCTCACTTTTTTGAATCAGATTTATGTTATTATGTGTGTGGAATAAGCGGCTCGTTTTTCACTCCTGACGCCGCTGTGCCTCTTGCTTCCTCCCCTCCCCAGAGCACATGCCACCTGGACTTCCTCAAAGGCTCCCGCCCTCACGGAGGCATTTTTCTGAACTGCACTGGTAATTTTTCTGGAAGTCCCACTGTGCATTCTCATAAGTGTCAGCATCAAGAGTCACACTTAGGCGAATTCAGTAAAATAGGTATGCTAAGTCACCCAAGTCGTTTTCCAAGTCCTCTGAGTTACAGTCGAACGAGCTCCCATTAGCAGAACTCGGAAGCTCGTGGTGAACACTGGTAAACACTTCTGGTGAGAGACCCGTCCTGACAGCTTTGATGAATGGCCGAGTTCATTTTCCACCTGGCCCGACTCATTCTAATTGCATGCTGCTGCAAACACCTTTTTCATCTGCCCTTCGCTGAGTGCTGAGGCACGAACAAAAGTCCATTCGCTAGCTGGGTGCCTAATTTTTATTAATAATGTCTTTACTCTATCAATCATTGTTAACTAACGGGAACATCTGAAGAAATGAATTTAAGCCTGCCGAAAGGAAACACGGCAGCCGGTACACACCCTCCCAAGTAGATGCTGAGGCTCCGGCCACATCCCAAATGTGCACAGCAAGTCAGGCTCGCTGGGCCCGATTTTCCCCAACAGAGGACAGCCGTTCCCTCAGAGACAAGGTGCTCTGTGCAAGTGGGCTGTGTCAGCAAAGCAATTTCTTAATTGCTTCCCGTACCCCACCTTATTCCCAGAAGCCTGGGGTGGCTGCAGCCCACTCATGATGTGGAGGGCTGGCCCGAGCATGAGAGTGTGCTACTCACTCAAGTCAGCTCTCCACATTTTAACCCAAAGACAGAAAGTAGTAGAAGAGGAAGACATAGTAGAGGCTAAAGAGCTAAATGAATGATAGGCATGGGAACAGCTGTAAGGGAGCCCCTGACTCCCTTGTATCCCTGGGTATCCATCCCCTAGACCTGCAACGTCCATTCAACCTGAGACACTGCAAACCACAACAAGCCTAGCGTTTGTCTCCCCACGTCTGGAACATCCTGGGAACAAGATGAGTGGCGATCACCTCATCTTTCAGGAGCTCGTGTTCATTTCTATCCGGTCAAATTCAACGTCCAGGACACAAGTTTAAGGAGGTACACAACCACCCCTGCACACTGAGTGCTGCTTTAACCAAACGGAATGTGTGCAGTCACAAAACAGGCCAGGCTGGATTTTCAATGAGCTGCCTCATGGTGGTAAATAAAATGTTCGGGTGCTTTGAGTCAAGCATGTCTTTAAAATACATGTATTTTTCTATATGTGTCAAACACTTCTGTGTGTAGACATTCCTCCAAACATATTGAATGTGTGAAGCCTACTTAACAGCCTTAATGCATTGTTTTTTCATTTCAGGTGAAAAGCCCAAGTGTCCTTTATATTAAAATGGGTCTTCGCAGCCTCCACTTGCAGAAAAAGAGAAGGAGAGGGAGAGAGAAAGAAACAGAGAAATTAAATAATTGCATTTAGTAGGCGACCACATATAAAGTAGCTTGTGTGAATTAATGATAAATTCTTTGGAAGAAAAACTTCTTGACTCTTTTTGTTGTACTTTTAACAATTGAATGCAATACTCATCAGATGGCTTCTTGTGAGCTGTCAAATTATTTAAATGAGAGCATATCTGACATTTCCAGAGGAATGAGCTGGGTGAGTACTGAAAAGACAGTGTTCTCTGTGCTGCTTTGATGGGCACCGTTCGGGCTTTTCAAAATAAAGGTTTTGAGCACTTTAATTTTGGAGTGACTTGCAATAGTTCAACACAGAGATTTAAAATGCTCTCAACTACTTTGGCAAAGAATAGAGAAAAAGTTTTGTGCTTCACGACAAACAGACGAACACTCCACAAGTGACATTTGAAAGGCACTGATGGTGGGTAATAACTGCTCAAAATACACTCAGGAAAGCGCAGCTCCCTCATTGTTCTTTATGTATCTAATTATTCCAGGTATTGTCATGTCAAAAAAAAGTTTTATGTGACATGTGTTGTTCCTTAACAAAAAAAGGTCTAAGTCAGAGATGAAAACTAATTCTCCCCAGGAAGCCAAGGCCTGCACGGGCCATCTTGGTGAATGGAGAAAGCTGATCATCTGTGGCTACAGACACTTGCATTCTAACAAAAGTATTTAGCCACTGCAGGGCTGTCCACTCCACTCCACTCTGCTTTCTGCAGTGCCGCGACCATTTGTTAACATGTATCTGAGTGCAGTCAGCAGTCCGGGCACCATGCCAACAGCTTTGAGGGGTGAGACAGCCATGGGAAATCACATAGAACAACCAGAGGAATCCTGAACATTTCAGTCCATTGTTTTATTAACCTGTTCCATCTGCTGATTCTCTGCTCTGTCTCAGACCATGGTCCGGCCTTCGAAGCTACAAGGATCTCCTTTGAATTTCACAATCAGCTCCCCCTTTGTGAGTTGAACTTGATCGCATCCTTGAGCCACCCTCATCCCCAGTTCAAGGCCTTTGCACCTGCTGTGCTTCTGCATGGAGCACTCTTCCTGGCCTGCACATGGACGGGCCTTCGGGTCATCCGGGCCTCAGCCTTTCCCAGCTCCTGCAACACACGCGCCTGTTGTGTTTCCTTTCTGACAGTTACTATTTGACATTTGCCTTCTTCATTTTTCTAGGGATTCAATCCCAGAATCTACGACTAACTAGAACTTAAGCTCCATGCTCGACAAAGGTGTTGTCTGTCTTGGTCACAGCCCTGAAAACAGTTGCTAGACCAGAGTAGGTGCTGACTAATATTTGTTGAATGAGTGAATTATTTCAGTTTCTGTAAACAGCACGTTTGCTTGATTCTCTGGCCCTGAGCCCCTGGAATTGAGCTTTGGTTTCCAAAGGCCATGTGGATCCTGGAGACCAGAAGCTCTCGGAGCCAGCTCAACTCTGGTTTGAGCACAGATCAACATGTCAGCTTTCTTGTTCTAGACATCGCTGTCTTGGGTTTGGTTAAGATGAGCATCCCTTTAAGAGCAATCTCCTCCTAGGATATGAAAAGCTGGAGGTCATAACTCTGAGACCTGGAAAGATTAGGTAGACGTGAGTGTCTCCCAGATGCACTTGGGACACCCTGACCAAGGCTCAGCCTCTGTGCACTACTCTACCTTGTTTGAGCCTCTAAACACATCATTGAGAAGGTTCTGGGTTTTATTTGCATAGATCACTTTTACCTCTCTGTTTTCCTGAGACCTCCCAAGCCTCTTTCTGCAATCATTCTTTATTTAGAAAACAAAATAAAATAAACAAATTGTGTCTTGCTGGATTTAAAAACAGCACTAAATTAGATTGATTACAAGTTAATCCAAGAGAGACAAATGGGCACTTCACAGCCTGTGCACATGGCATCTTTAGGACTTGGCAGAACCTTACTTTGTGAACATGTTCTGAACCTGGGCAGAACCCTCATCACCACCTGCCAAGGGGCTGCCTTTGAAACTATGTGGGAGTTTGGGGGGTTGTCACAGAGTTGGGGGGAGCGCTACAGGCACGTGGTGGGTGGCAAATCCTCCACGTAGTGCAGAATGCTGAACAGGCCATGTCACGGTCCTGCCCTGCAGGGCATCTCTGTATCTTTAGTCTCGGCGGAGGGCACTGAAGGTGAACCCTGCCCACAAGAGGTACTTTGCATCCTCCTGACACATGGGATGACCTCCCTCAGGCAGGCAAACCTGCTCCACACCCCATCTCCTTTCAAGCGCAGTACCATGCAGTGAGTCACCTTAGACATCAAAGCATGAAGCAGGAGCATACTTTGTATTCATGATTGAGTTATGTTTTTGAAATTAAACAATAATTTCCCTCATGCTCTGCTCGTTTACATAACTATACCAGTAAAAACTCTTATAAGTCATAAGGAGACAGTTCAGGGGGCTTAAGTTCATCTTTCATCATAAGAGAGTCAGCCCCCACCCACCGAATGCCAGCTGAGCGTCCCAAACACATGCTGTTTTAATGAGACCCTTCTCTGGGCATTGTTAATTAATGTATTCATTTATTCATTAAACCTTTCAGGGCAATTTACCATCTGAAAAGAGAGATGATGGCAGAACTATAGGCTTGTTGCAAAAGGTCTACAGTATAAGCCTGAATGAGCCAGTTTAGAAGATGCTGAAAAGGTTTTCAATATTGAAAGTACAAAAATTAATTAAGAAAAGAAAAACAACATTTGTGGTGGTAAATCATAATATGCTAATATAAAAGAAAGGCAATTATATATTCATCATTTTCAGTAAAATGGTTATTATAGTGTGGTATTATAACAATGATGCGGTTATTTTAAAATAATAGGAAATTTATCTTACCTTTTCTTGCATTAAGATATAATAAAATTATGCTCTGAAAACAAATGATGCCTTCTATTGTCCTCAGGAAACATTAGGTAGGCCTGGACGGTACGCTAGGAACTTTCTTTATTTTGCTGAGTGTTTCTTTTAGTGAAAACCTGCTCAGGAAGTGCCCGGTCCATGGGCATTCCCTGAGGTCTTGCAGCAGGGAAGACAGGAAGAGCAAAGCAGGACCCTGCATGGGGGTGCAAGAGGCCCGCACTCAGTGTGGTGGCTCCAAGGATGGCATCAATTTCAAAGGAAGCATTCCTTTCTTCATTTGGGTACGACATTTGAAACTAGAGAGAAGCTTCTGGAAGGACAGAGAATCCTTCCTCAACCTGCAGAGGCCACTGTGGCTGAGCATGGTTACGGACCTCAAGATAGGCTCAAGAGCACGTTTGCAGGAGGAACTCCCATCTCTCTAGATCCCACTCTTACCACGCTCCCAGAGCTGAGCTGCTCCACAAACTTAAATCTCATCCAAACTTCAAGTCCACCAGGGCTGGCAAGGCATGGCTGGTGTTTGAGTGTGATGGAGTTCTCTGTGCAATGTGTTCCCATGACACAGCGAGGGTCACGTTTGTGCTTGGGCAATGCGTTATTTTGACTGAGAACCTGATAGAACTATTGCCAATGGAGGAGGGAAAAAAGGCAACCAAATGCCAAAGAAGAAAAAATGTTCAGAGTGGCCATGCCAGTTTCCTTTCTGGTGTCAGGACAAAGGAAAACAATGTCATCCAACTCCAGGTGGGCCCTGAAAACGCCTCCCTGTGGCTGCAAGCCACACTCCTGCCCTCGTGGGAGATGCACATTCATGGTGATGCAGTGGCTTCAGGAGGCAACCTGGGCAGGCAGGTGTCAGGGAGATCGGAAGCAAGAGTCCTTGCTGCTCATGTGATCTTGAACAAGCTCCTGGCCTCAGTTTTCTCATCTGAACTAGAGGGATAAAACCAGCACCTATTGCATAGGGCCCTGGTGAAAATTCAATGAGAACACCCGCATTGGCCCAGGGCCCTTAAGAATGTTAGCCATGTTCTTCTGCTCTTTTCTTTCTGAACAGAAGAATCAAAGAGATCCAATGAGCCCCCCCGCATCCCCTCAGTCTTGCACTTCATCGCCACCTGCAAATGTTGGCAAGTCCTGGTCCTTCCCATGTCAGGTCAGAGCGAGCTACTCACAGGCACCTACAAGCCATGATCACTTCACCCAGGAGCACCCATCTCAGACTGTCTGATCATGTTTCCAAATGAAAGTACACTTATAATTTGTCTGCTTCTTAATTTCTCCTAAGACAAAGTGACAGACTCCTCTGCTCTCCCCCTCTGTGTTGGCTTTCATTATTCTCTCTTTATTTTTCCATCTCGCCCACTCCTTTCTGTGGCTCAGCCTCCCTGCTGCACTGCCGTTATCACTTCAGTATGAGCCCACTGTCTACCTGGCAACCCACTATTATGCACTTATTTTATTACTTGGTTTCCTACCCCGATCTTGTGATTCATTTCTAACCTTTACTGACTGCAACATAACTCCTTTGCCATTCTTTCTTTCCTCCTCACCCCGCTCCTCAACCCTCAACTTTCCGATGTCAGTATCTGTTCACACCTAGTGTCCTCATAGTACAGAAAAAAAGACTTATCACAGCTCCAGGTGGACAACCTTGTTTTTCACTCAGAGCAATCTGTTTAATAAAATGAAGTGCTGTACTGGGTGTTTTCCTTTTCCTTTGAGTAGGAACAGGAGAGATAAACAGGAGTTAAGAAGGGAAATGAGGTGATAAATGGGTCCCAAGGGCAGATCCTGGACCCAAGACAAAAGTCAAGACACTCCTCTTTTTAACGTGAACTTCATTGCCTGATTACATAACCAAGTGATTATCTAAATGTGGGTTAATGTTCACAATTCAGGCAGTCCATACATGGAGTTTCAGGGTATTTTCAGGATCGTACAGGACAGTTTAAAAATAATGAGGAACATCCTGTGTTAAGGATGTCCCACTCAAAGAAATCCCAATGCAGTAAACATACAAAGTTATAGAACAAAATAAGTTCTTTTCGTGTAAATACTGGAAAGTAGATGTCAGAGTGGGGTTTTCTGGATAGATGCTGGGAAGGAAAATGACCAGAAGAAAATCTTGGAATCACGGGGTACTAAGAGCTGGAAAGGCAGCCAAGAATCTCCACACTGAACTCCCTACTATTTAGACAAGGAAACTGAGGCCCTGAGAGGTTAGGAGACTTGCCCAAGAACTAGAGCCTGGTCTCTTGACTCCAACACCCAAACTCTTTCCAGCAGTCACATTTATTTGTAAGTGTGAGGTTCAGATTGAGAATTTAGATAAAAATTCAAATCTGGCTGGGTCTGTTGCTGTCTAGTCCTATGAGCTCTCCAGAAGAGCCAGCACATGTGAAAATGAATTAAAATTTCCTTTCAAAAGTATTTATTTGCCAAGTAAAAAATCAACAGATAAAACAGGACACAATTAAAATGGGGTACATGGAATTAAATGATGTGAGGCATCTATAAAAACTGTCATCACGTGAACATTGTATATGCCGGAAATGTAGAATGTTCTGACATTTTGAGTAAGTTCAACAGAATGGAAGTGAGCCAACTAAACCTTCTTAATTCTGGATAACTCTAATTCATAGTGATTCTGACAGAGGCTGCGTGAAAGTTTACCTTTTAAGATCTTAAAGAAAGTCTTTGCTGAGCAAATTAACAGTGTCAACAGGATTTTGGGTGACTATTGAAGCTACTTAAAAGCATAAGTTGTTTTTAAACACGGTAAGCATGGTGGGAGTTATAAATGAGCATTTCTCAGTGGGTATTTTATATGGACATAAAGTGAGTCATTAATACAGAGCTTACAAAACAGAGTTCTGAATCATTCTCTTCTGGTTACTTACTGTTTCCCTAAAGAATTTTTTTGTCATAGCTTCCTAGCCCCATTCTCGCTGGGTTTGAAAGTCATAAAATATCTCTTTTTTAATTGGAAAATAATTTGACCTTTTACTCATGCAGGCCTTTTCAGACATTAGTCCAAATTACAACGGGATGGGCTATTCTGGTCATGATACAGAGATTTGCAAACCACTAAGTTCTGTTGGTAAAGAACTTAACATTTTAAATTGGATAGTAATGCAGATAAATACAGGCATAGGGAGAACAGGATTCTCAAAAAACTTAAGTTTAAACACATTACGTTAACTTCTGTCCTTAAAAAGCTCTTATGGCAAATACCAAGAGGCCATGGTGAGGTGCCTTTGCAATTTAGAATAAAGTTATCATTGGAAAGGAGAGAACAGGGGTAAGAGCCTGGAGAATCTCAGTTAATCCACTTGCAAGCACCGCTGAAGGGAGCATATCATTATCCCCATTTTGCATAGGAATTTGAGGTCCAGGGTGGTTCATGTGTTCCCCCAAGGTTTTCATGCTAATAAATATCATCAGCATTTGCACAAGGAAAAAGGTGCACTCTTGGAAGAAGTATTAAATAATACACTGCAGAGAAGTTCTGCCTTCAGAGAAGGGCTGAGCAGTGGCTTCCCACAGACGGCAGTGTCGTTTAGACAGCTGTGATCTAGTCAACAGCATTGTGCCTCACATAGGGAAGGGCAGTGCTAAAGAAGGGGCTGAAGGGAAAAGGTCTGTGAGGTGTCTCTGGGGGCAGAGGCCAAGCCTTCTTCTCCCACAGATTATGCCCAGGTGCTTGTTCATAGTGGCCACTCAGTCTTTGTCATCAAATGGACTAAATCTAGGAAAGAGAGAACTGAAGCAAAGCATCTGGCAAGTAGGAGTGTGTGCAGGTGCAGGCACCGGGGCGTGCTTTGGAGAACCACAGGTTTCCCTGTCATCTAGGTGACGTATTCCCCCAGACCAGTGGTTCTCAGCTGGGGTGATTCTGCCCCTGCCCAGGGACAATGGCAGTGTCCAGAGACATCTTTGGTTGTCACAACTGGGTGATGCTATTGGCACCTAGCGAGTAGAGGCCAGAGATGCTTCTAAACACCCTACAGTGCACGAGAACAATCTGTCTAGCCCCAGACATTGGTAGTGCCAGGGCTGAAAAGCCCTCTACACAGTCCACCTCTGTTCCAATTTCATAGTCACCGACTGACCTGCACCTCCTGGCTGCTTGTGTTTCTTGCTGGTGGTGCCACAACAGCTGCTACTATTCTACCATCAGAACGATTAATTTTCCCAGTAACAATGAGAGCTGCCATTCATTTGAGCCCTTACTGTGTCTGGTCATCATGCTATGTGCTTTCTATAGAGCATCTTATTTGATACAACAACAGCAACAAGCCCATGAAGTAGATAACATTCTGATCCCAATTTAGTTTGTGGATCCCAAATGTTAGAAATATACAGGAGTTTATTTCAGGCCATGCAGTTGGAACAGGAATCCACACACTGGCTCCAGTCTGTATTCTGCATCTGCCTGTCCCATTCAAATGATTCAGTGCTTACTCCTGGACCCAGCAGTTTACATATGTGTTCCCCTTTTAGCTTTCCAACAACTCCCGTCATAGGAGGCATGATCACCACTTACACATGAGGAAACTGAGGCTCAGGAAGGTTGAGGCTTCTCCAAGGTCATTAGTGGAAGTGGGACAAGTCTTCTGTGCCAGCTCTACCTTTCCACCCTATCATGGCTGTCTCTAACCTGTCATGACTGTCTCTAACAGTAGCTGCAAGGAGTGGGGCAACTTGGGTGGCAGACTTGGGGTCTGTCTCCCTAGAAAAGTGGTGCTTTTGCTGTAAACTAAGACATTGACCCCCTGGTTGATACACCAGTACTTCTGAGTCTGTCTGGCTCTGCCATAGGGTCCTGACAGCACCAGGTTCCTGGCCTCCAAGGCTGCAAACCAGAACCCAAGCCCAAGCAACAGCTCCCAGATGATCCCCAGGCCTTCTGTGACATTGGTTACCACATGACATCAAACCATGACAAGATGCAACAACTTAACCAAGCAAAATGTCACACAATTGCAGAAGAAAACACAAAAGCCACCTTATAAATATTACTGTGTATAAGTTTGACATTTCTGCAGATAGCAACTGAAAGGAAAACTTTCACTTACAGATTAAAGTTCCTGTGAAAAAATGTCCCAGTGATATCTTTAGGCATTATTATCTAGAATAGGCGTCAATAGCTATTACATCTTTAACGTTTGTACTGACAATTCAGACTCAGAAGTGTTCCATCAAATGAAGATGAACATTTTGATATTGCTAAGAATGCAGACGTCCTTGAAGCGTGTTCCTTTCATCAGTTCTGCTAGCTTAACTTCCGCAGCTGGCCCTGTTTGAACTCCATTCTCAAGCAGCCAAACTCTTCCCAGCACTGTCCCCACATTAGCAAAAGAAGCAGAAAGTTAATTGGTTTTTAAGCTGCTTGTCTCCCTGCATTCATCACCAAGGCATAGGACCAGCTCCTGCTGTAGCGAGAACTCATTTCTGCCCAGGCAAAGACTCGGCAGTCTTTTGTCTCAGTTTATTTGACAACTGCTAGTAATTAGAAAATTACCTCTAAATTCATCTTTCAAAAACAACTAAAGTCCAGTCTAATTGCCGAAGGGTAGCTTAGTCTATAACTCCCTGACAGACTGCTGGAAAGAGGCCAGGGGAAAGTCTTAGGAAGAAAGCAGGCCTAGGGTGGCAAAGTCAGCTATAGATAAAAGGTGCGTTGGTACACATTAACCACGGAGCCCAGAGCCCTCCGCCTCATGCCTGTGCCATGGAGTCCATTTGCAAGAGCCGAACGCTCGCATGGGGCTGATG